TGGTAGGATGTCAAACATCGAGCGAATAGAACGACATGAATTTGTGCGGGTTCACCGCCGTGTGGCTAATTCATTATGGACTCCCGGGCCAACGATTCGGTGCTGCTTAACTTTTGAAAATGGTTTCAACGCAAAAATAGCCAGAGCCACTAGTCTGCCCCCGGAAGCTCTAATTCGGGAATTCCACGGTCGCCTTACGTCTCTTCGTTGGTTAATTACTACAAGGCAGCCTGAGCGAGGGACTACCTCTAGGGGTGTTCTTGTTCAAATAATGAATGAGGATTAATATGACGCGTAGCATTCAGCGACCGGTTGAGATTCAGTGCACTAGACTAACTGGATGACGTCATACAATCGGAAAAATAACGATGAAACTTGCACTAGAGTGAGACTTTTCTCAGCAGCAATAGAGTGGTGACGAAATAAACAGCATTGTCCTGTATCCTTCACTTTTGGGAGCGGTGGCGGCGCAGGGTTTCCCTGCATCTTGTCAGGACATGCATAAAACAGCTTACGTCGTGCAGACGCGATTATTCAGGCACGGGGGCAATTGCTGTCAAACAATCATTAACGGGGAGCTGCTGGAGGCACCGACAGTTCTCGGAAATTAGATTCCTCGTCCTAAGGCAAAGAATGACAATCCATAGTTAAAGTACATTGAACACATTGCCAAATCTAATGCAGCTATGTCAGGATCGAAATATCGTTTGAACAACAGGGATCAATGCATTCATTCTGTTCCCCAGTGGGAAGAATGGCAACCAGCGTAAATCGGAATGAACGGGTCACAATCAATTTATAATTACATTAAAATCAACTAATGTTAAAGCCGAAGACATACTGAGAAAGAGAGTAATCCAGATGCTTTGCAGGGCGTATCGTATTCCAAGTCGTGTCAGACGGGTATGGGAGGGGAAGAACTATGGCACGGACGCCTCTCGATACCATTATGTTCCGAATACCAACCTCATCCTCCATCCTGAGCAGTTAAATTACCTTTGTGTCTCACAAGGAATTGGCCAGCTTCACATGAAATGCTGAAATTTTGTAACTGTTGAAAAATCCTGGATGTTGCAACAGCGTTTTGGGGGTTAACACGCGCCTGGGTGGCCGGTTGGACACCCTTCGCTCGGGTGTGGAGGTCAATTTGACCCCCCTGAGATCTCAGAGACTAAGGGGGCTAAACACACGGAATTCACAAGGTGTGTTGACCTGTACGTAAAATCACTGAGATGAAAGTTTAAGCCTCCCAGGACATGACCTGTGCATCAAGAAAGGCCAAACAAGATATAACCCCAAGTTGGTCTTCAAAGTGTCCTCAGAACCCAGATACCTGTTCTAGACAAAATGTTACATGCTCCTTCAAGGTTTGTGACCTTGTTTGATCCTTCGAAGGCCATGGGGACCAATAGAAGGCTGCTTTGAGTTTTGCATTTGAACACGCGACAAAGATTAAGCCGGGCAGTATGTTTCTAAAAACGATATGCTGACCTGGGTCATTTTAGGCCAGTGACCTATTCTGACATCCAAAAAGTCTGATGGAAGATGTCTGATGCGGTTCACGTTATAAATAAAATGGAAATGAGCACCAGAAACTACAACAAACAGCAAGCCCTAGAGTAACAGAACAGGTTGTTTTTGTCCTTGGTTGCACCTTTACATCTGACCCTAGGTTGATGAAATTTGGTCGAAAGGATCTTAGGGATGTGTGACTTCCTCTAACACTCCGTTGTTCCATCAGATTGAAAGATTCCCCCGAAATTGACTTCGCTAAATTAATGGCCTGATTTTGACCTGCCGTAGGTCAGCGACCTTACAAGATACATTCAATTGTTTGATATCACATAATCCGCTATTCAGTTATCTACATCAATGCAAAATTTGACGCAGCTACACCGCTCCTTTCGGAAACCATTCCGGAAAAACCTGGGGGGTGACTTTGACCTCCTACCCGAGCGCGTGTTAATGAAGCAGTGTAGCGCCTTTGAACCACCTTCAGCGTTCTCGCAAGGCACAAGAGCTGATTATGGAGGTTTTTGGAAATTTTTGCGAGATGTTGCAGAGTATCACAAAAGCGGTTTACGGCCAGACAAGGCAAGGGATCGCCCTAGAACCATCTCCATTATTTCCTACAGAATGAAAGGCTTTCTATGAAGGATTCCTGGAAAAATTTTAACGTATTGCAGGCTGAACAGAGAAGCAAACGCAAGACACGACCGACAAAAAGTCCGTTGAACAGAAAAGCTTGCGATGTGCGACGGGCGAATGACTGCACCACTGCCCCAACAGACAAAAGGACCGATGACGGAACGGACGAGCGAACGGACGAACGAACGGACGGACGCTGTCCGGTGGATGAATGTCTAATCGGATGACAAATGCAGGGACCACGACAGTGCATGAATCACAAACACGAAGTCGAGCGTATTGCCGGCTTCACTGGCGGATGCCGCGAGCATGCCCGACATGTGACTGCGTGGCTGGGCTCCAGCCCTCCGCCGCTGCCCGTCGATGCCGGCCACCGATCGTCACGTGGCCCGGTTCACGGCCGGTCGGCGTGGCACCCAGCCCTCCTGAGCGCTCCGCAGCGGCGGCACGGAGCAGCCCCCCCCCCCCCCGCCGCCGCTCCCCCGCCCCGCGGCTGACAGGTTGAATGGGCCGCCGCCTGGCGACAACCGCCAGCGTTACTTGCAGTTTCTTTCTTCTGTGGCGCACAGTGCGCCAGCATCCGAACGTCATGGCCACCGGTAGCGGATATTTTATGTGTGTTCCAACGACGCATGAGATGTGTGCGAAGCTTGTCGCACTTTTGTTTGTGTCCCTGCCTCCGTGAATGGCTACGTAACGATTGCTTGCCAAAGTTAATCTTAACCGCATGAACCCGCACAGTAGGGAGGATGGCGACTTAGGCTTAGAACAGTCCTGCTGTTATCACGACGGCGTGAGCCTTGAGCCCCACGCTCCTTGTTCAAGCAGCAAAGGAATGGCACCGAGGTATGGCATTGGCAAGTTTCCAGCGAGACGGGCTCCGGGCCGGTATTTCGCTGGCGCCAACATGCCGCTGGGTCTGTGGCACAGGACAGGTTTCCACTTGCTGAGAGATGATGCACAAAGTCACCAGACTTAGCCCACAGACGCACGGAGTTACCAGTCTCAGACCGCAGACGCACTGCGTCATCAGACTCAGACCGCAGACACACGAAGTCATCACTCAGACTAAATACACATTGAGCCACCAGGACTCAGACTACAGATACACCGAGCCATCAGACTCAGACTACAGATACATTGAGCCATCAGACTCAGACTATAGATACATTAAGCCACCAGACTTAGACTGCAAATACATTGGGACATCAGGCACAGGCCACAGACACATTGAACCATCAGACTCAGACCACAAACACATTGAGCCATCAGACTAAGACTACAGACACTGAGCCATCAGACTTGGACTGCAGATACACTGGGACATCACGCTCAGACCACATACACATTGAGCCATCAGACTCCGACCACAGACACATTGAGCGGTCAGACTCAGACTACAGACACCTTGAGTCATCAGACTCAGACTACAGATACGTTGAGCCCACAGACTCAGACTACAGATGCATTGAGCCATCAGGCTCAGAATATAAACACAATGAGTCACCAGACGCAGACCACAGACACACTGAGCCATCAGACTCAGACCACAGACACACTGAGCCATCAGACTCAGACTACAAATACATTGAGCCAACATACTCAGACTACAGATACATTGAGTCATCATACTCGGACTATAGACACACTAAGCCGGCGGACTCAGACCACAGACACGCTGGGCCATCAGGCCCAGATCACAACTGCATTTGGTCATCAGACTTAGGGGCTACAGACACGTTGAGTGACCAGACTCAGGGCACAAATGCAATTATTTATCAAACTCTGACCACAGACATACATTGAGCCAACAGACTCAGACTACAGATGCATTGAGTCATCAGACTCGGACTATAGGCACAATGAGCCATCATAGACTAGAGACGCACAGAGTAGCCATACTCAGACCACATCATCTGAACCAAACTACGACGAGTCTGGACGACGATGAACCAGACGAGTCGTCAGAACCAGACTGCAGACACACTCGTCACCAGTACCAGACCACAGGCACATTGAGTCACTAGAGCCAGACGACAAACACACCGATTCACCAGCCTTCACCACAGAGTGCCAGTCGTATTCGTGTGCTACTCCAGTGGAACTTAATCACTCTGACTGTGACTCGGGAAACATCACGTAGATTTCAGTCCTGACTCCACTGAGCTTGGTGCTCAGAAAATGACTTCACCGAGCTCCAGTGGTCTAAATGACTATAATCGATTCCGATTAGAATCGATTCAGTGTCATTCTTTCGGTATATGAGGTAATGAGCACTTGGGCACCAGTAGCTAGCGCGTGGTAAAACAGACTCTCGCCATGTGTTAATTTCTCTCACGCTGCAATATTTTGGCACAAAGCTTAGAAACTTTGTAAAATCAATGGTATCACCGGCGTCCTCTGCCTCAGGTAAAGCGCGCTGATAATGCATGTTCGATGAGAACTGGATTTGAGGCGAGTTTCACCGCAATCATGTAACCCCAGCACACTTCACTAGAAGACGACGAGCTCCTGTCGGCGGTGGTCTGAGCTGATTGGCCTTAATTTTCTGCCTGAGACCATTAAGACCACACCCATTACTGACATGCTCTTATTTCAGCCGCGGCCCAACCGATGTCATCGCTCGCTTCTGCTTAAGTCAACAGCCAAGACATCAGACAACCTGTCGTAGTCAATCGAAACACCAGGGTTGGAAAAACCAGGAGGCTTGAGCAACAACTTCCACGTACATTTGGTGACGTCATGCGCTTTTCCACTGACCTGGACACGTCATCTGAAGCCGGCATGAAGCGACTTGCAGGCGTCGACCACAGCCCGCGCCGGCCGCCGCGGGGAGGCCCGCGCCGACTCACCGTGTACAGAATGAGCGCCATCAGCATGACGACCAGCCCCGTCGAGAAGACGCTCTTGAAGAGCGCGAACGACGCGACGAGAGCGGCAGCGGCCCTCGCAGATGAGCGCCGGCACGCAGGCGACGGAGCCGGTGCGCGCCGTGAACGGCGCCGCCGCCGACGGCTCGGCCGGCGAGAGCGAGAGGCCGGCGTGCGCCGTGCGCAGCGCGCCGCAGTCGTTACAACCGTCACCGCACATCCCCACCTGGTGGCTGGGCGGGCGGCGCCAGGTCAGATGCCCGCGGGGCTTGGGGGGCTGGGGAGGGCGAACTGTGTTGCTATGCGAAGGTGGTAGTGCCTGGATGGGACAAGCCGCACAACGCGAGTTGTCCCATCTTTGCCCTCCTTGTCATATGCTTCCCCACCCCACCCCACCCCCAACCCCACCCCCCGCCCCCATCTGCTTATTCCATCCTCCATCTGTCAGTCAGCCATTCAGTCATACCCATCTGTCTGAGCTTGCTCCAGTTTCCTGTGGTCTTCTAGAGACCACAAGACAACGGGAAGGTAGCAGTTTGCAATTTCAGGTCGTTAACAATTAAAAGAACATGTTTTGCTGTTTTGCCGGGATTTCGGAGAAATTGTTGAACGCGCAGGTGGTGACCTGGCGTGATGCATCGTCCAGACGGTACGTCGAGCTGCGGTCGTCTGACGGCTCCTTCGCTCAGTCAGGGGGCTGCTCATATTGCCACACATTTCAAGGTGCCGATGGCCGAGATCTGTTGACAAATCACGGCTTCAGCAACCTAGGCCGCAGCTACATGGGCCTGCAACATCACACGGGCCGGCACCTACCCGAGGTCCTGCAGTGTCTCGATGACCTGCACTTTCTGCTGGGGCGCCATGCGGCCGAACACGCGGCATCGGTGCACGATGGTGCGCAGCGTCGACCGGTCGAAGGTGTGGATCAGCTCGAACGAAGCGCCGTCGATGGCGAACACGTAGTTATCGCTGTGCACCGCCTTGAATTTGCCCTTCTGAAGGTGAGGTGAACACATATATCTGTATGTATCGGCCACACGGACTGTTCCCTGCCAGCCAGCCATTCAGTCATGTGTGTCTGTCTGTACACCTGTCCTGGCTTTTTGTGGTCTCAAGAAACCCGAAGGCCACAGTCTGCGATATCAGCTTGTAAACAATTTAGAAGTAACACACACAATGTCAAAGAGGTTACAGCGCGGGCGGTGTTGACGCCAATAACTTTGAGAACATTATCAACACAACCAAAGCTTTCCCGCCACCGCGCAACGAAAACGAAACCCTCCTGTGCGACTGCACGCCACCGGCGCGCACCAGGAACGTCTGGCTCCGCTCCGTCTCTGGGCTGGTGTAGGTGATGCGCAGGTGCTGCGCCGCGTTCACGGACGGACGGGACGAGCTCGGCATCCACCCGGAGGATGGTCTGTGTCTTCATCACCAGCCCCGACTCGCGGGCCACGCTCACCGCCGTCAGCAGATTGTCTCCTGGCGGAGACCGAGCGGGGTGTGACACCCTGGTGTCTGCAGTTGACGGGGCGGCGTGCTCCACGGCGGAGGCTGTGTCGCCCGCTGTGCGACAGCGCCCGAGTTACGACGAGGTGAGCACGCAGATCGGTGACAGCGTTGATTGCCGTCATTACAGACTCTAATTTGTCAGCACTTCACAGGCGGGCATAAGTCTGGTCTTTTCGTTACTTAGGGAGTCAATGAGTCGGTGAGTCTCTTCAGGTCGACTTGGACACACCATTGTGCTGTCCTCATCCACGTATGTGCCGAATTTATTCAGACACTTAGACGTTTTATCCGGCGATGCCCGCAACGATCACTTCTGGGCAGGATGCTTGCTGTATCTTTATGCGGTCAGTTCCACTTACACCGCCTTGTGCAACCATTTATACAGTAGTGAGACATCCGAGCACAATCCGGTTTCTGCAGTAAGCCGATAACAATGAGGTGACACCGGCTAGCGTGCGCCCAAAGAGCCGCACTGGCCGAGGATTCGTCATCCTCACACGGCTGACTCACACTCACTCATCTCACACGGCTGACTCACACTTACTCACCTCACACGGCTGACTCACACTCACTCACCTCACACGGCTGACTCACCATTACTCACCTCACACGGCTGACTCACACTCACTCACCTCACACGGCTGACTCACACTCACTCACCTCACACGGCTGACTCACGCTCACTCACCTCACACGGCTGACTCACACTTACTCACATCACACGGCTGACTGAAACTCAATCACCTCACACGGCTGACTCACACTCACTCACCGCACACGGCTGACTCACACTTACTCACCTCACACGGCTGACTCACACTTACTCACCTCACACGGCTGACTGAAGGGACTGGGCCCACATCTCGAACGACGACTTATGGTACATGATTAACGCTATTAGGTCCGATAATATGATCAAACAATCAGGCTTTGGGCTGTTTTGTATCATATTGACCAGCCTCTGACTCCAGTCATTTTCGTGCATTTTAGTATACTCGTGATATCACGGATATTTAGCAAAAGATATGACAGGATAGGAATACAGGGTAGGTTATAGGAGGCGAAGATGACGGTTGATGATATGTGGAGCCCCAGGAGCTTTTCCGCAGACAAGCTTTAACTGACTTTCAGTTGATTTTTTATTTCCGTTTTCCGCCGGATTTTTTAAAATTTCAAATATTGTTATATAAAAGCGGGTGGCAACGTAAACTGCAAGGTTTTTGGACCATTCATTCGTTGACGAGATTTCACGCAAATCATGCCAAAGCTTGCCTTGTTAAAAAAATGACGATCATTCGAGACACGACCCACGACAAGATACGCGACCATAGCTACTCACCTGTGGCTCCTCACAACACGGTGGATCGGAGCGCAGGAAGGTCCGCTTCAAGAAGGAAGCAAGGCCTTGCTGCTTGCGGGCAATAGCTGTGCCTTTATCGCTCAATTTAGAGTTTTTACATATTAATGAGCCAGCCTGAGTTACGGCATTCACCTGAAGCACTCATGTGCGGACACAGACACACGACTAAAGCATTAAGCGTTGTACCATTAACCATTTTCCGCCACCTCGCACAAATCGGTCCATCTGTAGTTGTCCGTGTTCCTGATCTGACCTCTCCCTCATCATCGAATTGCTGTGCAGTGTCAGTCAGTACCGTCCAGACAGCGTTTCAACGTACCGCTGATGGTGACGGCTACGAGTCTGTCGGTGACTGTCACAGGGCGTCGCGCACCACGCGACCTGGACTGTGCGATACACTGCCGCGCCTGTCCAGACCTGTGACCATGACCGGTGTGATGTTGACCTCGTGCAGTTGCTCCAGCGGCTCGTAACAGGCAGCCTTCACCGTATTGAGCATGACGACCATCCCGAGGAAGTGGCTGCCGGCCTCCAGGTCCTCCTGCTCCATGTTCTCCGCCTGTCTCGGCACACCACACAGGTGAGTGCCATCGCCTCCGAGGATGTCTCGAGAGAGGCAAACAAAATCGCATATCGTCTCTGGAATGTTTGCACACCGGGACGGCTTTTCCCAGGGAATGGCGTGCTTCACCAGCACCCTACAGCCAGGTGACTGGATTTGCCGGCTGGAGTCGGGAGACGGACTAACCTGAGACAGTTCCAGGTGCGCGTCCAGAGGATTCCAGGCCAGGCCCACCACGCGGAAGCCCTGGCTGGTGTACCAATCCAGTACGTCCTGGAAGTTGGCCGGCACCGTCGCCGGATCGCACATCTCGACCAACGCCTCGGGTGCCCCCTGAAACAGCGTATGGCTGTCCGTCCATCTGAGTGGAAATCTCGCCAGGCCACCGTGACATGCATCAGGTTTGGTTAGCAAACCGGGGATTCCTGGTTAACTTCTCCTGCATCGTCCTATTGCCTTCAACATGCGCTATCGTTCAGAACCCTTGTTGGTCAAATCCAAGTGATTAATCCCAATCGGTTAAATACAGTTCTGTTTGCCACGAGTCACTCCATACTCAGCTGCTCTGGTCGCATCGTAATGTTGCACCCAGATTTGTCCAGCCCCGCTCTCACAGTGCAATATCCCAGTTCCAGTCCCTCGACAAGCAGAGGCATGTAACTAACGCGCGCCTGCTCCTCTGAAAACCACGCCACCCGATGATCAAGAAAAACTCGGCCAACCAGCATTTTCGCTTGCCTCTCGGGTATCGAGCCCACTGACCACTGACACTCAGAAGCCGAGCCCCCCGCCACTGCTCTCCGCCGACAGGCCGGCACCCTCCACGCCGACCCTGGCCGTCGCCGGCCGCACCTTGACGTAGACGTCGAGTCCCGAGCCGAACCTGCGGCGAGCCAGCACGGTGGCGCGCCGGCCGGCCGCCGTGAACGGGAACTGCTTGTAGACGGCCACGTCGTGATCGGCCGGCGCGCCGGCGCCCTGGGTCACGAGGCGCGGCCGCACGTACGTGGCGACCGGCGCCGGGAAGTCGACGTCCGGCGCCGGCTCCTGCTCGTGCAGCTCCCAGTTCACCGCCTGCCGTGGGGGGCGAGGTGGTGGGATGCGTCGCGGTCACTCGGGAGTCCGCGGTCGGACGTGAGGCCCTGACTTCCTGTCGAGGTCCCAGAATGACGACCGTAGGGGATGGCAGGGGTTCAGGATAGACAGAGGGCCTATCAACTCTCTCGGTCATGATCATGATCAGCTAACAGCTGACAGCGGCAGGTCGAGCAGGTACCACCTTGAATAACTGTGCGCTTTGCGCGCCTCAAATCGAAGAACGACAGGCCCAGCGGATCTCACATTGAACAGTGGCAGGTCCAGCAAATCTCACATTGAACAGTGGCAGGTCCAGCAAATCTCACATTGAACAGCGGCAGGCCCAGCGGGTCTCGCATTGAACAGCGGCGAGTTCAGCGGATCTTACATTGAACAGCGGCGAGTTCAGCGGATCTCACATTGAACAGCGGCAGGTCCAGCGGGTCTCCACACGGCTCTCCGTCTATCAGGCTCAGGCTATGGCAGGCCGCCAGTGTCAGCACCCGGGGGTCCTCACAGCTCAGCGTCTCCAGTTCCGTCACCGGCTCTGAGAAGCCTGCCGCCGGCTCGCTGGGCACCAGCGCGCCGAACCCCAGCTCCGACTCGGTCAGCGTGCCCGTCTGAGGGACACGAGGCGCACTGTGACGGGGCTGTGGGGACCGAGAGTGGAGCTGTGGTGCAGACTATGGAGACACGGAGCGGAGCTGTGACGCAGGCTGTGGGGACAGGGGGCGGAGCTGTGGCGCAGGTTGTGGAGACAGGGAGCGGACCTGTGGCGCAGGCCGTGGGTTCAGGGAGAGGAGCTGTGGCGCAGGCTGTGGAGGCAGGGAGCGGAGCTGTGGCGCAGGCTGTGGAGGCAGGGAGCGGAGCTGTGGCGCAGGATATGGAGGCAGGGAGCGGAGATGTGGCGCAAGCTATGAGGACAGGGGCGGAGCTGTGGCGCAGGCTGTGGAGACAGGGAGCAGAGTCAATGGGTGGGTTGAGGGATTAAACCTACAGATAAGCGTACCTTTTAAGAGTGCCAGACAGTGAGGCGGTGACGCTTCTTACAGCAACATACATGGTCTGCTCTCGCTAGGGACGCGGTGTGCAATGACGAACGCGACAACGCATTCAAACAGTCCTCGTTTTTGGCACCCATCGAGCCCCACCTTGTCGAAGCAAAAGACGTCAACGCCGCCGCAGAGCAGGATGTATTTGGAGCAGAGGCAGTAGATGCCGGACCTCTTGAGCCTTCGCTGGGAGTGGCCATACAGCGCTGACAGGCTCATGGGCAATATGGCCGGCACCACGAACGTGATCATGTCCAGGCTGTACAACACGATGGTCAGCAGCGATGCCTGCCGGGGTGGCGCAATGGGCTAACGTCAGCGAGTCCTCGGGCATAGCAGCGTTGGCACGGACGGTTCTAAAGGAAATGAACCCGTCTGGCTGCAGAATGTCACAGTCAAAACGGAAACATTAGTGGTTGACCTTTCGCGATGCGAAACGATTCCCGTGATGGTGTAACGTTGAACACGACAGCCCTCTGGGCAGCGCTTTTGAAGACGCCGGGTTTGCACGTGCATTGTCAATCGATGCAGACACTTCTTACGTTATTCATTGTCCATGCGTAGGCAGAATAGCCAGCTGCGAGAAGTCCCAGCAAGATGCAAAACTGGACGTATTTGGTGAAGTCCGAGTAGAACTGGAAGTCGACCGGCTTGGGAAACAGTACGGATCGGACCAGCTCGCCCTTCTGCGTGTCAAAACCTGCGGCATAAAGCGGGTCGGTCACTGAAGTCTTCGATGGCACAATCGTTCTGAGCTGGCCAGCGCATCGACCGCCCTCTGGTGGCGCGGCTGGCGTTGCGGTTAATACATCGTGTTATCACCCTCCTGCGGTGCGTATTTTTTTGTAGTGTCCACCACCCAAAAGTTCTTTCTAATGCATGCAAATGCAGCACGTTGGACTGAAGACGGACAAATTGAAATCCTTAACAGGAGTAATGGTTTTACCTAGGCAGCTGAGAGCAACGGAAACGCCTGCTGTGCGGTTAGTTCCTGTTTAGTTGGTTCCTAGAATTCCCTGAAGTTAGAATATCACATTGGAGGTACTTACATTCAACATTCGCATGTTGCATACATCGAGTCCTAGTTGCTTCAATCATGCGGTAAAAACCGGGTCTTACCTGTGCGAATAACCACGGCGAGAACGTCTGACTTTCCCTTCACCTGCAGAATTTTGGTTCCACTAAACACGATGTTTTGGTTGTTCTGGTCGACGTCGAATATCTTATTATCGTCTGGGGGCAGAAAAACCTGTGGAAGCCAGGTCAGTTACAACGCAGAACTATGGAGTTCAAAGTCGCAATTGCTAACAGGTTGATGCAGGTGTAACGAGTTCATCGTTAATTTTTTTGCGCATAACGCATTGCGGAAATACAGCACGAATACTCCTTTGGTCCGACCAAGACTTCACTAGAGATGCAAACCTGCAGCGTGGGTGAACATCACGTGATTCACGTCATGCTGTGATATCCATTATTTATCCTAAGTTAGAAAACATTATCCTAAATACGCCTAAACGCACAGTGCACCTATTCACTGCTTGGAAGCGGGCGCGTGAGATCCCCAAGCCTGCCACTGTCTGTTGCATGCGCTATAACCGCCGTTTCCCAAAAGCGCCCGGAAGTGTGTGTGATAATGGCGACACAATGTTTGGAGGGCGCTTCCTATAAGAGAAGAAGCAAGGCTCTCAAGTGCTATTTGAGCGGATGCAAATTCAACAGAGAAACATTAAGTCATGTTGAATCATGCTCCTAGTCACTGACTGTGCATTTCCTATCACCAGAATTCCAAGTTGTCATCTCGAATTCGTGACAAAACGTATTGGCACGAAACGCATTAGCACTCGTACTGGCACGAAAAGCCGCTTATTGACCGTGACTTGCCACAGAGGCTGCCTTTTGCCCATTAGTAACGACTCCTGACCTTGCACTAGGCTGACCCGAGTTGTTCAGAAACGACTCGACGGTGGCTTGTAAACGTATGTAATGCATAACCTGCGCGGCTTACGTTGGTCAGGGATGACTTGTGATCTTCCACAGGGATGACCTCACCTTACATACAGGTTATGACTATTACATGAACATTGACTCGCACCTTGTACAGCGGGTGGCTCTCGCCAGTCAGCGCCGACTCGTCCACCACGCAGAGGCCGTCCAGCAGCACCACGTCACAGTCGAGATCATACGGACAGTTGCCGTGCATGATGATCACCTCGCCCGGCACCAAGTCACGAGACGACTTCTGCAGCGCTGCCGAGGTCACGTGCCAAGGTCACTACTTCCGGTAGGACAACTAGCCGAGCACCAGGTCACGGGACGACTTTTAAAGCGCCGCCAAGGTCACGCACCAATGTCATTAATTCCTTGTATGACTAACTTATCCCGTACCAGGTCACAAGACGATTTTTGGCAGCACTGCGAAGGTCACGTTTCATGGTCCCTAATGCCATGTAGATTGATTATTTTGCTCGTCATCAGGTCACGAAACAACTTCTCTTGCTAATTTGACATCAGCTGACACTGTACATAAATACGTGACCCCTTCACGCCATTTGTCGGAGAGATAAAACGGTCACATGGCATGGTAAAACGGTTAAGGGGCATCTTAATCATGGTCACACGTTACCGAGGTCGCACATCAAGGTCAATACCGCCTGGGTAAGGTGTCAATGTCACTAGTTGTAACTAGGACATGTGTTAATGTCGCCATTGTTATGGTCACGTATCAAAAACACTGGCGCTGTTAAAGTCATGTGTCAAGGTCGCCGAGAAATCAGGCAATTATGCATTGTCTTTCGGCTGCGCAGTGTCAGAGTTGTAGACATAAACATAAACATGAGTCGAATCACCCGAACAAAGGCCCTCTCTACATAAGTCCCTCCCTTTCATGACCCTTAAAGAGAACGTTTCACATCTTAAAATATTGCAGATAGCACCAGATACCAGGAAACCAGCTCACTTATACCTATTGGTATACTTTAAGTGCAAAAGACTGCTCTGGACAATGCAACTTTTCTGTTAAGTAAATATCCTTCCCGATACGTCATTGTTTGATCACATCATCGTACCTCGTACAGCAATAATTGAGGCCGTTAATAAATTAACGGCCGTCATATTTGGAAATCGTGCTGACGAGCGTCAGATCTGATTTTGTATTGGCCTTGATCTCCACATGGCTTATGAAATGACAGGTTTTGAATGACGCTACTATGACGTCATGAATGCCAAAGTGACCTTGAAACACTCCCCGAAATAGTCTCCCCATCTTCGCGGACATGTAACTCAGAAACTAAAAGGTTTTAGGTCTTAGAACAGCAGGGCTGTGAGCTGCACCAAACAGTCTTCAAGATGATTATTTCAGTTCTAAACCCCATAGAAATGTGGAACACTCCCTTAAAAAGCTAGCATTATTACGAAGATGATTTCCTAGCTTGATGGAGTAAACACGACACGCCCACCCATAACAAGTTTGATGCTTTTGTGCTTTGGAGCATTCAGGCCCGTGTGGCCGGACTGGCTGTAACCACTTTCGACACATGCAAGCGCATGACTCGAATTGTGTGCTATATTATACGGATCTCATATCAACACCAGTAGTTCCAGCAGGACGCCCTCAGGTTCAAATGCTGCCAATCTCTCAAATAAAAATGAGCACATACCAATTTCATCTAAAGGCTTTCAGCTTCAAATAACGGGCTTTGTGAATTAGCCTCAAACATTCAGGACACTCTTGTGACGCTGGATTCGTTGACTGGAGCGCAGACGGGTGACACTGGATTCGGTGATTGGAGCGCAGACGGGTGACGCTGGATTCGGTGACTGGAGCGCGGACGGGTGACGCTGGATTCGGTGATTGGAGCGCAGACAGGTGATGCTGGGTTGCTCACACCTTGGATAATTGGAGACTGGGAAGTTGGCGTGGAACTAACCAGTAGGGCTAGATGGCTGTGCTCTCTGATATACTCACGGAATCCGTTTCGTAGAGTTGTTACTGTCATCCCCGACCTGACGTGCTTGCTGAGGGCCTTCGTTTGCTGCGGCAGAACCGGAGGGTGAGGGACTTTGGCAGAGAGAATTCATGTTAGTGGTGCCCCAAGCCTCCGCATAATGTAGTTCCTCATAAACGGTAGCGGAACACAAGGCGGCACTAAACAGGCCAACACTAGATATACGAAATGGCATTCACGTTGGCTGGATGGATGACATATCAAGCCCCGAAACCCTAGCTTACGCTCTTGCCCAGCGCCATCTATGATGATCTAACTCAACCTATATGTCTCAGTACATCCGTCCGCTCGTCACAGACACCGGGCGGCTTCGTTGCAGAAAACCGCGCACTGCTCGATGATCGATTGTCGGTCACGTGTTTCTTCTAAGCCCCAGCTCACCCGGCGGGCCTCCCACACCATTATGGCAATGGAAAGGACGGTGATGATGATGAGAGCGATGGCAAACTCAAAATAGCCGCTGGAGAACCACAACACGAACGAGTAGAGCTGCATTATGTAGAACGGATTGACGCCCTGTAACGCCAGGAAGGTACTTCATTTAATGTAGGCCTCACAGACGTGTGTTACGCTACGGGTTAATGGAGAACAGTGATAGAGAATGTGGCGTATTCGTCGGAACGTTTCCTGTTTGTAAAATACCCAAAATATGTTGTAAATACTGTTTTGGCATATATATGCACACATACGTATGGATTTATATATATATATATATATATATATATATATATATATATATATATATATATATATATATAGCAATCTCATCTTATTTGGTGACATATTAAATACCTATACGACACGAAAAGCAATAGCGAGTACGCCATTGCCTGCATTGGTTCACCGATATGTCTTTATCTTACGTCAGCATAGTTGCGCAATTCTCTGCATAAATCAAGCAGTCTGATGTTCTTAACACCAATAGTCACCGTCACAGTACTGGCTGCGCTCACAGACCTGCTCATAGATGAGTTTCAGCACCGACGGAGCCTGGATCTGCATGAAGTTCTCTCCGTACAAGCGGAGACGACGCATGCTCTCGTCGTGACTGAGACCCGTCTTTGTGTTCTCACAGAGGTCAGACCAGCGAGTCGCCGAGTTCAGGAAGCTGATGACATCAGACGAAACGGAGTGGCACATTCAGCACGGCTGTGCGCTGCGTATTCGGAGATAGGCACCCCCGCCCAGCGGCTGCTTATTTTGTCAAGGCATGATACTAGGCCTCCCGTGGCATGTGTCGTTGACATGACGGCATTTATAGTTGATATACGCTGGCATTTTCCATGGGAGTATGAGAGATAACAATATAAGTCAATACATTCCATGCTTGTTGACTATTATTGC